GATAAGTAAAGTTTGGATAATGATTATTTTTGTCAAAGATTAAAGAGTAGTTCGACCTCAAGTTCAGTACATTAATCGCTTGTACTCAATTCGTTGGTTAAAACTGTTATGTATTTTCACCTACTAAAGGAGACTTCTTTATTATAAATTACAAAAAAAAATTATACTTTGATATATATTTATCAAAGTGTTATATTTACTATTCATATTGAGAAATTGGTTCTTGACCAACCAATTTCTCACCTAAGATTTTCATATAATCATCAAGCAAGTTTTTACATTTTACAACTCAATTACTAGCAACGAAAAATATAAACTAAAATTTATCATGCACGAAGTTTCTATATATAAGTGCAAATATATATATGTATATGTATGTATGTATAGGAGAGTAATCAACTCAAAACATAAATATTCTCCAAATGGAACTATAGTATAGATCGTGTACATATATACATAACTACAATAATCCTAACTGAAAGCATAAAAATCCTAGTGTTATTCAAACAACATCTATAGACCAACTATATCAGAGTAGCTTAAAAGGTCAATATTGCCATCATCCAACATGACCTCAACAATGACACATCTTCTTGCCTAATCATGTCATACTCCCATGTAAATATGATCATCTCAATCTTACCACAAGGAAACATGAAAAGGTAATCTCATAGATAATAACATATCAAGTATAGAAGTAAAGTGCAACTATACTACCTATATCAACATATAAATCACAAAAAATAACACATCATGGTTTCAACTTTAACAACGCATAGTATAATTTAATAAGATACTCAATTGTTCAACACAACAATACCTCAACTTAACATTCAATAACCTTTTTAAGGTAACAACTTAACAACATAGATCAACTTTTCAACTCAACAACTTAAAAATAACTTAACAACACAACATAATTAACACATCATATGCACAACACACCAACTATATGCATCATCATATATTCAGCTAAGATATCTTTTACAATATAGGTAAACAATTTAAGTAACTTGATCATACCAAATCAGCTAATAACACGATCTTTTTAGACTAGCTAGATCAACAACTAATTTGGATAAAAATGCATAACACAACATGGTTTCTCAAATTTCGTCACTTAAATTAGAAAAGTTTAGCATTTTTGTCAAGGTAGGACAGCTTGGGTGTGAACTTACCTCGACTTTAACATGCATAACTAAGCCTCTTGTGGGATTAGTCTATAGACTACCATCCAAATACTATGCCCAGTCTAATACTTAGTTAGAGATTTTGGCCTTTGACCTTGTACCTTACTTGGTTATGTCACTTTGTACGTGTATGACTTGACATTTCCCTTACACAGATTTATATTGGTTGTTTTCTACACGCATGGCTCAACTTGGCCACCATACGAATCAAAATTTTGGCCATTTATAGATAGTATGGCTCAACTTGGCCCCCACACTACATCAACTAAGATCCTATAAGAAACTCAACATTCCAATTCAAGAGTCAACTTCTCAATAAGGATTTTCAACAATTGGACTGGTAAAACACCACAACACCATATCCTCATAATGAGATATTCAACTAAGGTCCTATAAGAGATTCAACATCTCACTTTAAGAGTCAACTTCTCAATAAGGGTTTTCAACAACTAGGCTGGTAAAGCACCACAACACCATATCTTTACAATGAAATATTCAACTTTTAAAACAACCTCTCATCTAATCGTAAATCGATCAACACAACATCATGCCTTAAATATTCTCAACACAACTACTCAGCACTACACAACATACAACTCTAGCCACATTTCAACATTTAACAACTTTCAATATTGTAAACAGCAATATACATAATCCTAAATCAATGTATAAAGTCCTAACAACATACAACATGTGAGCATTTCTACTTATACACACCATATTCAACATTTAGCCAAATAAACAACACATTATCATTTAGCAATTCACACATGACACCATTATTCCTGCACTTCAAGTCATTGAGACAGAGAGCCTCTAGTTCATCCACCCCTAGCGCCAAACTACCCTTGCTTAGGGCGATTGAGGCAAAGAGTCCATGTATCAATCACATCTAACATAGCAAAACCTATGTCTAACCCCATTTCAGGTGGAGATCCTTTGGCTAACTCATGGTCGGTGTTAAAACATTGGTGCCTGGTGTTGTTTAGACAGAAAGCTACTATCTTCATCATTCATGACGCTACTCAACTAGGACCCAATGTCATCAAGTTAGAGATCTTCAAGGGCATCCACACCTAGTACCATTCAACCCACGTCCAACATGACCAAGTCAAAGAGTTCTCTTCTAACTCACGCTCGACACCACCAATTTTATGCCTA